GCGAAATCATCACAGCCAGTGTCAGAGATCTTATATACACCCAGAAGCTCCTGCCTTTCTAAAGCCACGTCCATAGTTTCTGATAATCTAACAGGGCTTATTGTTGACTTGGATGGTGCTTGCAATATTTGTGAATCCATTTATCACCGTTGTCAGCATCATCAGCTTATCTTTCAATTTTAATGGTAGGCTTTGGTGTGTTTGTTCCTTGGCATCATCAAAGCTAAAGCCATGAAATGTGAATGAAGGAACTCTTAAGTGTGGTTTCTACATTATGAAATCAGTTGGAGATCGGTTTCTAGATTTCAGGGAACTTCTCAAGTGAGGAAACGTGTCAGAAGTGATTTCTCTGTTGTGGATTGAATTTCGTATTTTGGAAGAACTTTCCTTAGACTTGCACTGATTTTAATATTTTATGCTTCTCTGGGTGAGGGTTAGCTATGCCTGGCCTAGTGCACATCACAATTTTGTCACTGAGTTAAGGAAACCCTGGCACACGGTCAGGAGATGGCAGTGAGAGCAGAGTGACTGCCTGAACCCCAGTCCCTCCTCATGCTGTTCCCACCCCACCACAGGAATTCAGGTCGGTCCCCGTATCCCCAGGGAGCACATGGGCAAGGAGGAGCGTGGCAGCAGCTCTCTGGCTCCCTGCTCACTCTCTGCAGTGCTGGTGGAGGTCTGCTCGGCTGCTCTGGAGACTGGAGCATCCCTCATTTCAGTGCTGGCAAGGATGTGGTTTGCAGTACATTTTCCTGCCCTTTCTGCAGGGAGCTGCCTTTGTTCTGCCTGTGATCCAGGCACCATCCTTTATTACTCAACAGTTTTGTTACTCAATATATGATCAGAAGAATGATTTAAAGGATTTTCTACAAAAAATACGTGGCTATTGACTATTGGTTTGCAGCACAGGAATGGAAGAGCCTTTAAAACCCGAATGCTAATACAAGCATGCATAGGTGAATGCTGCTTGCATTTTTGACAGACATGAGGTGGTGTTTAAGAGGATTGTCTTGCTCTTGTCTAGAAAGAGGGGTCCAGCTGCAATCTAATAACTCGGGCAGCAGGCAAGGAAGAAGTAAATTGTATTTGTTACAAATTACCGGAGAAACCTATTTGTCCTTTATTAAGCTTCAGAGGCAGAGCGATTCCAACTGAGGGAAACTTATAATTCTGTCTTTTAATATGTTCTATTACCAGAGTTATGGTATTGAGCCTTTAAGATCACCTGTGACTTCTATTAATCTCCTGGCAGCTTGCAGAGCATGACCAAGCACTGTAGGTATGAGGACTAACACGCAGGATACGTTTGCTGTCTGCCCTCTGATCTGTGTGAGGCACACGGCTCACGTCTGAATGGAATTCAGTTAGAGAAAGAATACATGCTAAGTGAAATGCAAGGGTGACATTTGGGGACAGATCTCTTCGTGTGTTTGTGGCATCCAAAATCAGTCCCCTTATTTTCTAATTATCTGGAGATTCCACTTATAACTGTAGCCCCAACAGTGTTTGTGACCTACATGTGAAAGCCAAGGCTGAGTTTTTGGTGTGGCAGGAGGTTGCTGCCATTTGCCTAACTTCTGGCTCTTGTTCTTACTGTTATTCAACTGATATTCGACTGCTCTCCTCCCCTTCTCCAGGCAGAGCTGTCAGTGAGGTGTGTTCCCTTGGGACGTTTTAATCCATGCTGCCTGGTAGTTGGTACTCAGATGCACTAACCAAATTGGCCTGCTGGCACATGGATCTGAATTAAAGGTTTTCTCTGTTAAGGTATCTACCAGTATGAGCTAGATTACATCCCCCAGGAGAGCAAGGACTTTGCAAAATCCTTCAGTATTGGCCTAATTCTGTTCTCTTAAAAAGTGAAATTCATAGCAAATTCATCCGCTGACATGCCAAGGCAATATTAGTGTAATGCTAAGATGATTCCACAAGATGAACTCAGAAAATATGTAGGACAGCCAGCATGGCAGGATGTCTACATCAGCATTATCTGGAGCTTTGTGCATCTTGCTCTCAGAGTGAGTTACCGTGGGTGGTTTGTTGCCTGTTGAGCTCAAAGCGGTTGGGCTGCGTTCAGCCCAGCCAACGCAGCAGGAGCCTCTGTCACATAGAGGGGCATTTGGGTTAGCAAATACATGTCTGCAAAAAGAGGAGGTAACTGCAAAGTTGAACTGCAGATTCACCATGAGATTTGTCCCTCTGTCTTAATTCCAAGTTGTTTAAGCTTTTTCTTTCTCGCTACAGCTCCCAAATGTCTGAAAAGGAAGAGGGAATTAGTTTTTACAGCCGTTTCTACTACAAGCTATTAGCTTAGAAGGCAGGATGTCCAGTTCAGATCCACAAGGCTAGCCCCAGTGCACCGTGTGAGTTACAAGGATGAATTGAAGGGCTGTGGAGTGTCTCATCACTGCAGCTGCTGGCAGCTGTGGTGGAGCACAGGCACTCCAGCCAGCCCTCCTGTGGCCTGCAATCTCCAGGTTGTTTTAACGGAGGCGATGTGACGTTCTGAGAGGGCTGCCTGTTCCTTCATTCCTCATGTTTTTTGAAAACCTTTATTGCAGCTGATGCAAAAAGAAAGAAAATCATAGTGGAAAGGGGAAATATGCTTCCCTAAGTACCGTGTTTCCCTACATTGCTCAAGCTATTCCAGATTTCTTCTCTTTATATACGTAATGCCTCTTAAATACTGCCATAATATTTGTCCATTCTTGCTGTTTCTCTGTCAATTTTTAAATTGCCTGATTAATTGAAGCCCATGGTATGCTAATTAAATGACAGAAAAACAGCTAACCTGGTGGTAAGAGGCACACCTGTGTGTGCTGTCTGTGAACCTGAGCTGTATGGCAGATGCTCACTGCTGAACTGCTGAGCACAAAGATGCATTGTGTGACTCACTTGCACTGTTTCTGCTACCATTATAAACTCTGAGGGCACTTGATGAATAACAGGGAGTCAAGAATGAATTCATCCATGTTTCACTCTGTAACCATCTATTATAAATACTGAGCCAAATTCTGCCTCCAGATACACAGCTCTCATTGAAGCCTGCCCACTGTATTTATTTTTAAAGATAAAAGCACTTCTGTTAGTTTCACAGAGGACTTCTGTGACACGGTCCATTGTAAAGATGTGAATATCCTTCCTCAAGAGCTTGCAGTGGGGCGGGGAGCGTCTGCCTGGAACAGGGCACTTGAGAGATAACAGCCTTTGAGCTGTGATGGTGGGATAACAACCACTGCCTCCATCCAAATGAGTTTCAGGAGCACGTTTCGCCATGCTCGTGCCTTACTCCCTAAGGAGGCAATGGGTTTCTCTCATGTAACCCTGGGCTGAGCTGCAAAATGCACTGCACTGGCGAAGGGAAAGCTGAGCTGGGTTTAGGTTGTTTGGTTGGTTTGTTTTCTGAGCTTCTTCGAAGGATGAAGATGGAAGTCTTGCCTTGTATTCCCAGAATAGGCTTTGTTCAGCCCTCGGAGCGTGTTAATGGTGGCTAGCAGGGGCACATCTCAGGGTCACCAAGCTCTGTGTCGCTGCTCAGCCCACTGTTTTTGTTGCAGCTCAAAGGAACATTGGGCTAGAATTTTTACCTGCTCCTGCAGTCTCTGTGCAGTCAGTTATCCCTGGGGGAATGGTGCTGGTTGGGGTAGGAACAGGGCTGCACCTACCAGAACAGCAGGGCCCCTCCTTCTTGGGGTGGAATTATTGTTTGTGTCACATATTTATTGTGAATGAAATCTCATATTCATGATTCACCATGACTTTTTAATTTAAAGCAACTCTGAAAGCCATTGTATCTGATCAGAAGGGGGTTGAGTTATCAATTGTGAATAATTGTCAGTCAAGCAATGATAGTCTTTCATTGTGTTTAGATGCTTTCTGCAAACTGACCTGGCTCCTTGGAAACTGTTGTTCCTTTGTGATAAGTTTCTTGATTCAGTGCCCTCGGAACATATGCACTGTGCAGTTCTCTGCCTTCTTCTCTAGACTGCTCAGCCTTTTGTGACACGTGGCTGCTTGACTGCATTCAGCTGATTGCTTTTAGATGCTTTTTTTTCTTCCAGGAAGAAAGAACTGCAAGGCCTGCTGGATTTCGCTTCGATGTTGCTTAGGTCAAGCCTTTCTTTCCCTAGATTCACCTTATTATCAAAACACAGATTACTGTATGCTGCCTTCCTAGGCTACCTACTGGGCTGTTTTTCCACGAGGCACAGCCCTAGCCTGGGGCTCATACAGTGGCTTCTTTTTCTGGCATGGGCTAATTAACAGGAGTGGAGTACATGTGAAGTAGCAAATAATGGTTAGTTTTGTTTATGTATAAATACTGATAGTCATTGGAGAATGCAAATGACTCTATGGGAAACAAATGTCTCCCACACACTATTTTGGACAAAAAGGGAATGAGTGTGATTGCTCACCCAGCTGCATGCAAGAGGGATGCACACAGGTTCAGGCAGTTGGGGAACCCAGTGCATGTTCTCAAGTGTTGTCTCTGTCATGGCTCACAGCAGGCCGCACGTACCATAGAGGAGGAATCCTGTGGCTGAAGAGCTCCCTGCTCTGCAAAAGCCAAGTTAACAACTGCAACAAAAATGTTAACAGTGGCTTCACATCTTTAAACTGTTATTGCATTCCCCCTGTCACCCAGGAGGATGTCATTGAGTTCTGATGGCAATTCACCTCTCATTAATTGGGTCAACATTTCACTGTATTTAACGAGTTAAAATCAGATTAACAGAAGAGCAACCTATGCTAATAATTGCAAGGCACTTGGGAGCCAGGGTGGATTTGACCCATAACTTCGATCGCTCGTGGTTCCTTTTGGTTTCCAAGCAAGTTCACTCACAGCTGGGCCAGGCAAGAGGACACTTGTTCATTTAAGCAGTCTCTCCTTTGCAGGACGCCAGTTTCTGGTACCAACCCTGAGCTGTGCCTGGTGGCTGACTGTTGTCTGGGCATAGTCGTCCACTTGGCTCTGATCTCTCCTGCTAATGTCGTTACAGGACAAGTGGTGAAGGAGAGTAGAAATGGCGGAGGATAGGAAAGATGAAGCCAAGGCACCGCACTGGACTTCGGGTCAGCTAACAGAGGCTGCTTCGCACCCACACTCACCTGAAATTAAGGAACAGAGCAGCGCGGGTGCCGGACTGGTCAGAAGTGCCAATGGGTTTCCCTACCAAGAGGGTGAGGAGCCTGGGCTGGGCAGCCGGGAGCAGCCGGGGACGTATGCTCGCAGCAAAGAGAATGGAATCAATGGAGAGCTGTCGGCAGGGGACAGAGAGACAGCAGGTAACGTGCCGTGGTGCTTTGCAGCTGAGCCAGGGCTTTGCTGCCTGTGGGAGGACATGTGCTGGGGATGGGCTAGGGCAGAGAAGATGCTTGGGCCTGGCGGCAGGAAACCGCTCAGCTCTTGTGCATTGATACACCTTGTTCTCGTGTGTGCATGCACAAAGGATGGTCTCTGCTGTTACTGCTCACGAGTAATAACACCTTCTGTATGTCCACCAGCTATGTGCAGAATAACGCACCATTCAGCCTGGCCATAAATACTGCAATTCAGAGTCAGCATTTACTGGCCGTTCCCTAGGCAGGTTTTGCAGGATGCCCGCTGGGGTTTTGTCTATTTGTAAGCTGTGTTAGGGCTTTAGCATTCTGCTTGTTATGGGGAGCTGGGGGGAGGAAGTGTGAGTGTGTAAAAATGAAATATGCAAAGCAAGTTTCCTGCTTTAGAAATAAACGCTAATTCACTCTGTGCAGATTTCCCTCCTTAAATCCCAGATGCGCAGTGCAAGGGGAATGTCTCTTGTACCTACAGTAGTGCCCTCGGTGCATCCATCCATGCATGCTAAAGAGATCTTTCTAGCAATGTTTGTTGGCTGTTGTCAGCACTTTGAGATATTATCCGTAATTTCTCAGCAGCAGGAGAATCTTAAGGCTCTCAGACCCTAAAGTCATTTCATAAGCAATTCTAGTGGAAATGAATATCTGCTCAAAGAAAACAGGTTTGGATTTTAAGAGTCTCTTCTTGTGCATAGCCGAAATGAGAAAGCCAGCGATAAAAGAAATCCCATGTAAGCATTCAGGTGAACACGTTATTGGTAACTGTTTGCAATGATGATAACAAGTTCTCTTTCCTTCATTTTAACCTAACTTTGAACTGTTCTTAGCCAGCAAATAAGCAGGAGCAGTCATACAGGACTTGAGAGGTAAGATGCTGCAGTTGTTACAGATGGGCTTGAGCTGTGGGAAGATGTGAAAGCGCTTTTTCCTTGGTCACTGATTTTTCACAGAACGTTCTGCAGGCACACCCATACGTATGGAGAAGTACTGATTACAGAAGGAAGGGGATTGGCCTTTTCTTTATAAAAGGAGAAGTACTCTTCTCAGGTGCTCTTAAGCTGAGGCAATGTGTGGGGGACCTGATTGTTTAATTGAGGAATTAGGAGCTAATGAGCGAGAGGAAACAGGGATCCAGTGCTGCCCATCACTGGGTGTTGTTGTAGTGTGTTTTTACTTTGCTTTCTGAGGTGAAGGATGAAACAGCAAAACAGACCAGAATGAGGCAGCAGGACTGGAGAAACGCACTTGCCAAGAGAGCAAGGCTGCTGTCTTGGTGCAAAGTTTTCTTTGATCACCGCTTTGTGGCCTCATTTCCTCCTCCCCTGCTTTTTCTCACTATCTGCTTAGATTGCAAGATCTCTGGTGTGGGGACTTACTGTCAATCCATACAGTTACTGCTAAGGAGTCTTATTATAGCTTACTTCATGGCATCTTTATCCTTGAACACCAAAAAAGTCTCTAAAACTGCTTGCATTCACGCATGAATTTCTGGTTCTCTGGAAATTCATGTCCTTGAGCTCTGACTTAGAGGACTGTCAGTGCAACATAAAACACACTAGGATACAGAAAATATATATTTTTTAATCATTTCGCTCTTTTTAAAGGCCAGACCTGTCAGCAGTTCAGGGCAGTGGCAGAAACAGAAAGGGTCATGTGTTGCCAAAGCCACATTGGTATTTGCAAGTGGGATATACAGCATCATAAAGCAAGTTTGATTCAGAATTTGATCTTGAATCAGGATTGCTGTTTGCCACCAAGCTCAGCCATCTTTGCAGTGTTGGCTTGTAAACTGTTACTGCTGTGGGGTACTGTCAGGGTGTTTAAATGTCACTGTGGTACACATAATTACCAGTTATGCAAATCATGTAATCACTTGTAGTAGCTTGCTGACTCCAAACATATGAGGAGAAAATGCACAGGAAGCCAAGGTCGACTGAGATAATTAAGCTGAACTGTGGGTTTGTGTGGATTTACAGGAGTTTTATTTTCTCTGATGTAAATCCAGAGCCATAACCTAGGCTTCTGTGGCATCTCAGCCTTCGTGTCTGAGTCCATAAATTTCCTCCAGCAGCAACAGCAAGCTCATTGGAAGTGGAATACAGGTATAAGCAGGGCATTTCCCTGCTGATCAGAGTCTGGTTGTGTTTTGAGGCATTTCATCTGAGGAAGCTCCCCTGCTCTGAGTGGCCCACCAGCAAGAATTCTTCCATGAAATGGGCAGTGCCTCACTGCCCTGGGGGCATTGCAGAGCACCACAGTGGTCATTCGCAGGGCTTGTGCTGTACAATCTGTGGTAAGGGGAGGGTTAGAGTTAGTCACAAGGGCACAGGCACCTTTGCTAATGCTGATGTGATGCTGAGTGGTGGTAGTGGCAGAGGAGATTACAGTTCTTGCTAAAATGCATTTGATCCATCACTGCAAGTGACGTTTTTAGGTTGGCACAGTTAAAATTTACCTTCCTATTTGTGTGTAGCTTCTCTTGGCATCTGTCTAGGAGTTACTGAATCTGACCTCAATTTTGGAATCCTCTGAATTTAGCTGCTGCTCTGCCTTTGATCGATCTGGCTCTGTATCTCGCTGGTAATGGTTGCATTATGAAGGCACATCAATGCCCTGCTTTCAGACACCCAATGGGAGCAGGGACTGTGCCCTGTGTGTGGGCAGGGCAGCCTCAGGGCCTGGGCTGGCATCCTCTGAAGTTGAAGCCAATATACGTGAGAGAAGAGGCCCAGTTTATTGGCATAACGCATAGGAAGCAGTTATGGGTGTGATATAAAGAGGAGTGGTAAAGCAGCTATTCCTTTTTATTGTGCGTGTGTGTATATATATGTTTTCATATTGAGGTTGTCCTGGCCACCCAGCTCTACCAACCACAAGACCCACACTGCTCCTAAGGAGCTCCTGAAGACACCTTGCCTTTGGGCAGCATGCAGCTCCCCGCTTAGTTTTAATATGCTCTCCCTGATCCCTCCGTGTTCATACTCACCTCCCATACACATCTTCAGTATCTTCAGTGAGCATTTTGGAAGTCTTAATGGTGGGGGATGAGAGCTGTAGTTCTCGTCAAGCCAAACGTTTTCATGTCACGTGAGATACGTACTGCAAACGAGGCACTGATAGCGTAATCTTCTGAAGCTCGCTGTGATAGGGAAAGCTTTGGATTGGGCCGTGGTAGATCATAGGATGTGTTTGACCTGTAACAGAAAATGAGTGTGGCAGCCTTTGCTTTGCTTGCTGAAAAGTCCTGGTCAGCCAATCGGAAGGAAGTGAGGAGCAGTAGATGCACTTCACCAGTGTCTGGGAACCAGTAATTCAAAGCTGTCCATCATATTTGACTTGCAAGGAGCATCAAGCTGCAAAGGTTTGTTTTTCTACACTTAAAATGCATTTCTTGTTCTTCTCATTAGTGAAATGACTAATCTGTCAAATTTATATGATTAGGGGCTGTATTGTGAAGCATCTTCTACAGTGTATCTTCAAGTACAGTGACTCAGCTAACTGAATGCTTTCTTCATTATACATCAAATGCAGGCTTAGTATTGGAGGGGGTTTGGATTACCCACACAGCTATCTGATTTTTTTCTTTGGACAGATTAAAGGAAAGCATTCCTATTATCAGAGTGTCAGGACAGTGGCTCTGTCCTCATGTCAGTCGTCTTTAAGGACAGTAACACATCCTGCCAGAGTAACAGAGCCCTTCATGTGTCGGCAGAGTACCCAGACTGTGTGGGATGCAAAAGGACTTCTGGGGAACTGTAGCAGGCTTCATGACACAGCACAGAGAACCAGGCTGAGTGCTCACACATTGTTTTTCAGAGCTCTTGTGTCATTGGAATGGTGGATGTGGTGGAGGCCGGGCCAGATAAATGAGAGACGGTCGTTTCTGGAGGCTGGGGAGAGCAAGAGGTTGGTGTGTGTTTGTAAGTGAAACAGGAAGAGAGCCCTAGGCCTCTGAAGAGGAATGAAGAAGTGGCAGCACTGAAGGAAGGCTAGGGAGGGTGCAGACTCTGTGTGGTGAGAGTGAGACCAGATGTGAGCAGAGCTGGTGAGATGTAAGGCATGTGAGAGCGTGGCAGGGACAGGAGGTGGCAGGGAGAGAAGAAAGAGTTGAAGACAAGGACAATGGAAAGTGCTTCAATTTTATCAGTTATCCTGAGCCAGCACATCCTTTGTGTAACAGCAGATATTGCCCCAGAGAAGAGGAGGTTCAGACAACGTGCAATGGCACAGTCCATACAGAACAACCACGAGGAGGAGCAGGAAGGGGTAATTCATGTTCCAGCCCTTGTTGTAGTTTATCTAAGTTCAGCCATTTGTTTTAGGCTTTGTTGAGCAGACTAAATGAGCATCTGCAACAAATCTGTTCCTGTGACCAACTGCTCCTTAAGTAAGTATATTTAAATAAGCTGCAGAGAATGTCAGCCTGAAAAACTGCCCTGCCGTAGTCAGTGAACGGATGAGCAGAGATGCTAAATTCCCTGTTAGGTTGGCTGTGCAAAAGAGTCATGGTGAAGGTCAGGATTATGCATGTTTCAGCTGCCTGCAGTGCAGCAGAGAAACAGTCTGTATGCTACCATCTTCCATAGCCTCCATCGGTCCTCACAACTGCTGCACTGTCAGAAAGTCCCTGTGACACGTACTGCTGCTGGCTCAGGGCACTGAGCCCACCAGAGCTGGGTGCAGGATTGCAGCACGGTGGGTGGAGGCAGCAAGCACAACAGCCTCTCTGTGTAACTGTGCCATGCGATTCACTGCTTTGCTTTGTGATGTGTTCATATTTATTTTTTTTTTTTTGTTATTTCATCTTCTTTTCCTTTGTTTTCCCTTTCTAAGATACAAGCTGTAATACTCAAACGACACTGCCACTGCCAGTAAACATATAAACAGACCTTTGTACAGAGGCCTTTTAGTCTTTCTTCCCAACAACACCGCTTTGACAGAGTTCTTTT